ATGTATTCATGCTCAAAGCATCACCTCAGACGTCACACAGCGGTTCACAAACGTAAGTCATGGCCTCAGTCTTCAAGCAGCCATGTAGCATCAATCATCGCTATACTCACCCTCTAAATGGGTGAATAATCCAAGAAATACAAAATTGCGCCATCTTCCTCCTTATCAAACCCGGGTAAGCGATATATCATCAGTTTCGCCTACTTCCTTGAGACTTATAAGGGCATGCTACATCAGCATAACCTTATGTTTGTCGGACAAATTTTGGGGATACTTCAAGTATTCAATAAACTCTCAATCGAAATGCACAAGACTCAGGATTTCTCACGCCATTCGATTGAAAGAAAATTGAATAGGGGCAGCTGTCGTAACCCAAATTTGTCCTACCCCAATGATCTTGTCTTCCAAGATTATAATAATAAAGAAGCATTTAATCAAGGATGGTACAATAATATCTGATGGCCCATCTTAAAATTTAAGCTAATTGAGGGTGCATTTTTAATTCAGGAAGGTGGGGGGCTTTTTGAATCAGAAAGACCCATAAACTTATTCGCGAAGCATGTTGGCCTATGGCCAAGGAAATTCGAAAATGGAAATTTGTTCCAAAATTAATAATTACTAAATTATAAAATTATTAAGGCGACTTAAGTTTAAGTTGCTATTAAAAATTAAATTTATTAAAGATATTTAAGTGTATTTATTTTCAATAGAAGAAGGGGGTGTCATTTTGGAATCACACTAAATAACCCATTTTTCGTTCTGTTGTTTTAATAAATTATTAATACAAACCGTTACTAAAAAAGGGGACAACATTGTTGTTACTGCTGAGTTTTATCATCATTAAAAAAAACAATATGTTAGATTTTATTTTGATAAAGAGGGTTTGTTTAAAATAATCTAGATTGGGCTACGAAAAGGCATTGGGCCTGGTCAAAGAAAAATATTTGCTAGACACAATAACGATAATTAAATACTGGGCCCAAAGGAATTAAAGGAGGGAGACTATTTGTTGACTACCAATGTAGCGTTTTTGTTACACCAGTGGTTAGTTGTAAAAAAATGCATACATATACAATACAACTAAGGACCAAGTCCTCTGTTAACACTTATTTTACTGATTAAAACAAAATTGCGCATACTAACAGATACTGTACAAATCAACGCCAAAAATTATTGGGATCAAATATAAAATATATTACTGCAAAATCTTTATATATCAGAAACTAAATCTTCACCAAATCCAATCTCTAATACCTATTACAGCAATCGAATATTACAGATACGATCTAAAAAAGTCTAAAACAAAATCTGAAAACTTAATATATTACAGAATAAATCCAAGATTACAATTTCAAAATCAATTACAATAATTTCAAACTCATAAATCTAAGGCTAAACTGTAACGCTAAGGAACCCTAAAGCTATAAATACATAAATTAATCTATTGAAGAAGGAGGAGAATTTATAGAGACAGAAGGGCCCTTGACAGAAAGCAGGGAAGACAAAAGTTGGAAAAATCTAGAAACAGAAAGAAGAAAGCTTGAATCCCCTTACCATCAAAGACGAAAAGAGGAGGCGTTTAGAGTTTCCGGACCGGAAACCCTAATCACCAACCGTTGAAATAACCATCACCGTCGTCTTTTGAATACCACCTTCAAGCCCTCACTTTCATTTCCCTGTCCTCATCACGCCATCGCTCGAACACCAGCTTCAAGTTCTCCAGTCACCGCCGGAATCGTGTACAGGGTTTGTGGCTTCATTTGTTGTTGGTTGATCAGGAACACAGGAGGGGGTCATGGTGGAGCAAGGGTTTTGCTTGGAGTAGCGCCACCGTGTTGTAGTGTTAAGGATAAGGTTTGTGGAGATGAAGGAAAGGGTTGAGCGAATGAGCGAGTGAGGAAAGGAAACGACGCTGTAAACAAAATGGGACTGAAATGTTAAAATAATTTTTTTGTTTAATAATATCCGGTATAGCGCGCCCATCATAGCAATTATGTACGTTCGCCTTTGGCCATCAGATTATGATCAGGTGTCTATGAGGCCAAGCCCCACCATAAGATCCATGCGCCTTGCCTCATACGATCAAACAGACCCCTTTGAAAATCCGTTGGGCCCAGCCCAACTGCTATGCACGCCCCCTTATCCATAATTACTAAAACCCCAAACGAAAATGCACCCCCCTTTTGTTTGAACAACTTTGGGCCTAGCCAGATAACTCTTCACACCCCCTTGCTTTTACTACATAACTGAAAATGCACACCCAGGTTTATTCAAAATTATTATTTTTTATTATTTCTTTTATATTTTTTTTTTATATTCTATTATGTTCTATTCTATTATTTATTTCTTTATTTCTCTTTTACTTATAATTATAACTATTATTAAAAATTATTGTTATCATATTTTAATAATAATAATTATATATTATTATTTATTACATGAAAATATTATTTATATTATTATAAATTATTTTATTCAAGAATTCATATAATATTTTATTACACTATTGCGTTAAATATTTTTAATCATGCATTAATCAAGACGTTTTCGCAATTAATATTATTAAAAAAACACCAACAAATTTCAAACTATTGTCGCGAATAAATTAAGCTAATCAATAGTCTTTTTTGCAAATGGGTTTCAAACCGATTTTGGCTTACTGCGTTCTCAGTCAAAATCTCCACAATCACTACCTTCGACCGAGTGCGAAGTGATTCAAAATATATTTACAAGCCCCCTAAAAGACACCAACCCATACAAACTACGAATTAGGACTTTGATTCCTCGTAAGAGGATACGTAGGCACACAATTTAAATCGTGGCGAGTCTTGCTAATTAAAATTTAAAACACTGTTTACCCTAAATCTAAACCTAGAGCTTAATATCCTTGTGAACAAGGTGGATGAAAGGTGCCTAACACCTTCCTTTCGTCTAATTGAGTCCGAAGCCTAGAATCTTTGTCTGCGAATTAGGATTTTCTTTTAGATTCCATTCCCTAGGATAAAAACTAATAGTGACGATTCTTGATTAAAAAACCAGTCGCAACAACAGTATGATGAAAAATGAAATGAGAACAGAGTGAAGAGACATACCAGAACTATGATGGAAAACAAAACCATAAAATCAAAAGGCATAAATTGAACCATAAAATCAAAATGCAAGATTCAAAAAACATGATTCTTCATCGAAACCCATAAAATCAAAAGGCATACATTGAACCCATAAAATCAAAAGGCATACATTGAACCCATAAAATCAAAAGGCATAAACTGCACCCATAAAATCAAAAAGCATAAACTAAACCCTAAACGCACCATAGAAGCATCAACGAATGCATTTTGTTCATCCAAAATTTCACTACAAGCTAGATATTACCTTAAATCTATATAAATGTAATATCTTTCGTAACATAATATTTACGTTAAAATCTTTTATTCGTAGTTCTTGTAAATCCTCCCTGAACCCTGTAGTCAATGTTGAAGAAAAGGAAGAGAGAAGAAAGAAGAAGAGGAAGAGTGATGCAGCGAAACAGAGAAGAAATAAGAAGATGAATAGAGAAGAAAGTAGAAGAGGAAGAGATATGTAGCGGAAGGAAGAAGGAAGAAGAGAAAGAGAGAGAGAGAGAGAACGTGAAAAGTAGAAGAAAATTTTGAATTAAAGTTGACATTGGAAAAAGAAAAAAAAACAGAAAAGATATTGAATTTGAACCATGTGGCATCATCAAATGATCCAAACCTAGCAAGAAAAGGCATAAAACAATAACTATGAAGTTGAAATCTAACAATGTGACATCATTAGTTCCAAAAAATAAATTATAGACCAAAGTTGCCCTCATTTTGTTAAGGTGGCAGAATTATAAGAGAGGACATAGATGTGTTTTTCACAACATCTAATTTTTTTATATTATAGATAACTATAATTAATAAATACTAAGTTAATTCTAGTGTCCGTCACTAAATCACTATCAAGAATATTCATGAGTGTGTTAAGCAAACAAAATTGTTCGTTGATAGGAAGGAGTGTGGAAAATAATCACTATTAAGGAGCTACAAGAAGTTTAATTTCTAATCTAATGAATAATATATTCATAATTTATAATAAATATTGGGGATTAATTTTTTCATCCTTATATGTGTTCTTCCATTATTGTGAAAAGTCACAACTTTCTCCAACATCCAGACGCACCTTTTTTTTTATACATTTTAGCATAATTTATTGAACTACCCTTATTTTGAAAATATTTGAATGTGTCAGAAGATGCATCGTAGGAAAAATTCTTTAACAAAATGGGGTGGATCTCTTAATAGATTTTGAATGTGTCCAAAGATGTATCTCTTGACAGATTTTTTTTTTAAAAGTTGAGTTAATATCTGAATAACTGGTTCTGATATGATTCTAGATGTGTTTGGAGATATATCTCCAAATACATTAAAAAACTTTTTTGAATTTTGAGAGTGTGGAATGCATATATAAGGATGAAAAGAAAAACCCTAAATATTTTTTCTTGAAGTCATCATTGTAAAATGTACTTGAGACAATTGTGATTTTTATAGATCTAAGACATCAGTGTCATTTGTGATTTTCATGAATGATTCAAAGTTTCACACTTTTGTTATTTATATATGTATATTATTTAATCCATACCTGAATCTCCAATAAAATTGTGTATTTTTATTTTTGTTTTACATTCTCGCGCAAAAAAACATTAATATTTATATAGTATATATGTATGTAAATATTGTAACTACTAAAATGCATAAATTGACCAGCATAAATTGAGACAACTTAGTTTATTGATTATATTGGTGATTCACATTTAAAACTTCTTGAATAAAACAACATAGAAAAAAACATTATTATTTTATAATTTTTTAAAACAAGATATGACAAGATGAATAGAATCATCAATGCTTGAAGCTTAGTTGTCTATAAAGGGTTCTCTTATTGCATATCGATCTTATTTCACACGTTCTTTCAAATATATAGTTGAAATTACAAATCTATGTTGAACGTTTATTTAGTGATGGAGGTGGTTGTTTCGGATCTGGACCTGATGGAATACGTCTTTTAATTTCATAATTGAATTTCGAATATTGTATGGGAAGTTTATCCATTGATGGGGGTGGTTGTTTTGGGTCTGGACCTGATGGAACACGTCTTTTGATTTCATAGTTAAATTCAGAATTATATGTTTGAGGCTTATTTGGAGATGGGGGTGGTTGTTTTGGGTCTGGACCTGATGGAACACGTCTTTTGATTTCTAGGTTGAATTCAAAATTATATGTTTGAGGCTTATTTGGTGATGGGGGTGGTTGTTTTGGGTCTGGACCTGATGGTACACGTCTTTTGATTTCATAGTTGAATTTATAATTAAATGTTTGAGGCTTATTTGGTGATGGGGGTGGTTGCTTTGGGTCTGGACCTGATGGAACACGTCGTTTGATTTCATAGTTGAATTTTGAATATTGTGTTGGAAGCTTATCCATTGACGGAGGTGGTTGTTTTGGGTCTGGACCAGATATAACACGTCTTTTGATTTCATTGTTGACTTCAGAATATTGTGTTGAAACCTTATCCATTGACGTGGGTGGTTGCTTTGGGTCTGGACCTGATGGAACACGTCTTTTGATTTCATAGTTGAACTCTGAATATTGTGTTGTAAGCTTATCCATTAACTGGGGTGGTTGTTTTGGGTCTGAACCTGATGGAACACGTCTTTTGATTTCATAGTTGAATTTAAAACTATGTGTTTGAGGCTTATTTGGTGATGGAGGTGGTTGTTTTGGGTCTGGACCAGATGGAACACGTCTTTTAATCTCATAATTGAATTCATAGTTATGTGTTTGGGGCTTATTTGGTGATGGAGGTGATTGCATTGAGTTTGGACCTGATGGAACAAGCTTTTTGTTGTCATAACTTATGAGATTTTCTCCTATGACAAAAGAAATAAGTAAGAACGATATAATACCAACAAAATAAACTTTTGAAATGGCCATCTAAATTGATTTGGGTTTTTGTGTGTCATAATCCTATATAAATATAAAACTTCTTTAGTGTATTTTTTTTAACTTTTGAATGAATTTCAATTTTTAAAGAATCATAATCCAATTTGAAAAACTTTATATATTTTTATTCTTTGCATTTCAGACAAACTTTCTATTTTTCCATTTCAACAAGTTTTTTCCTTTTTTATATTATTGATTATTTTATCAGTTTTATTTTTTTAAAACCAGCCTAGTATTTTCATTTTTTAATGACAAATTATTAGTATATAACACTTCATTCTTTAAACTTCTTTCGTGTGTCTTTTTTAACCTTTGAATAATTTTTAATTTTAGAAGGATCCTAATGCATAAAGAAAATTATTATATATTATTATTCTTTTCATTACATACATGTTTTTCATTTTTTTAATTAAACTATTTTTTTAAATTCTTTTACTAGGGATTATTTTGTGGATAGAGTTGAAAATGAATCTACTTGAATTCGTTTTAACTCAGCTCGACTAAATAAGAATTAGTTTAGTTTAAAATTTGTCTCAAGTTAGACAAATTGTTTTTAAGTTCAAACTCGACTAATTTTAAATTCATAAACAATTTATTTTAATTCATTAGGTTCATCTCGTTAGGTGTAACTTGTTTTCTTTACAAATTGATAAAATATTTTTTTCAAATATTTTTTTTATATATTTAACATTTATCATTTTTAAAAGGGCTAACATTTAGAGTAAGAATTTAAAACTACTCTTGAATTCAATATATATATATATATATATATATATATATATATATATATATATATATATATATATATATATATATATATATATATATATATATATATATATATATATATATATATATATATATATATATATATATATATATATATATATATATATAGTTTTTATATTCTTAGTTTCAGTCAAATTGAATATTTATTTTAACATTTTCTTAATCATACAATACATCAAGTTGAATGAATTAAGTTTTTAAGATAAATTGAATGAATCGAGAGCGTATTTAGTGAGAATTGTTATCTATGTGAGAAACGAGAATAACCTATATCAATTATCAGATTTAATTAAAGATTATGATTTAAAAATTTTATATAAAGAACATCATACTGATTTTTTTTCTATTACATTTAATATTTGAAAAATTTTAGAGAGAGATTATGACCAAAAAAATTTATTTTTCTTGATAAATCTTTGTTAAAATATTTGTCTTAAATATACTTAATATATAGTTAGAATATGAATATATAATATAACTCAAATGTATATAATATTTTTATTTAAATTTAAAATTATCTAAACTATAAATACTTTTCAAGACTAACGAAAATTCAAAATTAAAACTTATAAAGATTAACTATTTTAAAACAATTAGAAACATGAATTATTTACTCATCTTCTAAATATTAAAATTATTTTAAATAAAATTATGTCATATAATTATTTTTTAAAATATTAACTCTTAAAAAAATATTTTAATTTTAAAAAAATTTATTTAACATTGCATCTCATATTTTATAGAATTATATTTTTTTCATAATTAATTTAGGTAAATAAATTGCTCTAGTATTACTTATAAAATCAAATAAAACTTCAAATATTTTAATAACAATTTAATCACCTAAATAAATAATAATAATGGAAAATTAACACTAAGTATATAGCTCATTCGTCTAATTATATCAATAGTTTTAAAAAATAAAATAATTTTATTTTCTAAACCAAATAAATTATTGTTTAAAATTAACAAGGGGTCAATATAACTCATATTGAGTTACAAGAATGATTAGGTTGTTATTACAATATTGGGTATCTTGTTTGGTTTTAAAAAGAAAGACTTGAATAATTTATTTACTAAAATAAATTGTAAACAAATATCTATAAAATGTAATATACAATATTAAAATAACTTTTTATAAATTAAATTAATTTTGTAAGAATTCATATTTTTCAAAAGAATTATATGATATAATTTAAATTAAATAGAATTTTACTACAAAGAAAATGATTAAACAACTTGTACTTCTTATTATTTTAAAGTTAATGTTGATTTTTAGATGTTTTATTTAAATAAAAAAACTAAATACATTTTAATTTTAACAAATATATTTCACAATTTTAATAACTGTGTAACCGTCTAAGAATATCTTTAAATGACTTTTTTTAAATATTAAGCATAACAACAAAAATTAAGTAAAGTGTTTTTTATATCATAACAATTAATTAAATATAATAAATAATATTGATAATTTTCGTTTCTCGAAATAGATATGAGTTCTAATTGAATACATTCTCTATAAAACATATCCTGTGATAACTAATGGATTGGTGAGAAACCAGAACTATTGATATCAATCATAATATTTATTTAATTAACATTTAAGATCTCAAACTTTCATATCAAAATCACCTTATTAAGCTTAATATGTGAAAATGCCCTAAAAATAAATTCTAACCCATAATAATTTTATTGCAATGATTATATCGTTATAAAAATATTATTAAAATATTATTTATAAACATTTTAAATATTTAGATAAGATGTTAATATAAAATATAATTAAAATGCCTTTAGTACTTTTATTTAAAATTCAAATGATCTAAACTATAAATATTTTTAAGACTAAAAATATTTAAAAAAAATTAAAATTAATTATATTCACAAATAATGAGAAGCATAAATTATCTTAGACCATTGATTTGATTTATAAAAAAAAAACAATTTTAATGTTTTATCTTGCAATTTATATGATTATATTTTTCACAATTTTTTTTGATATATTAATTTTTCTAAACTTACTTTTAAAATCAAACAAGACTCTCAATATTTTAATATCAATTTAATCATCACAATGAAAATTATTAAATAAAAACATTAACAAAAATTACACAGCTCGTTCCTTGAATTATCATTAGTTTTTTTTTTTAAAAGAGTAAACTCATTTTGATCTCTCGCAAAAACTACATAACTCAAATTAATCTTTCATAAAAAAATGGATTTGATTTAATTCCTTCGACTTAATCTTTTATAAAATTTATAATCGGGTCATATTAGTCTCTTTAAAAGTTAATATTAAATTTTAGAAGAAATTGAATCCAAAACCTTTAAATCATATCATATGTCTTCATCACTAGACCAATATACATTAGTGACAGATAATTTTAATAATTTATAGTAATATTAAACAATTTTAAATTAAAAATATATATAAAATTTGTACCCATAAGTCACGAATCCAAATTTTTTCATGTTAAATGATACTCACTTTTCAACTAAATCAATTGTTATTAATATTTTTAATAATAAATATTTAACTTATTAATTCTGAATAAACATTTTTTTATTTACTTATTTCAAATAACACACAAATAAATCAAATAAACTTAATTACATTTTTTATTCCACTATTTTACTTGATCCATAAAATTGGTCTCTCTATTTTAAGTTTTAGTCCGTATATTTTAAATTTAAATAGTTTTGATAAAATGAAAAATATTTTTTTAAATAAGAAGTTATTTCTTAAACATGACAAATCATCGTATACAAACCATTATTGAATTTTATGGATAAAAATATAAATTAAAAGGTCTTGAGATTAATATTATTATATATCATGAGAATTATTTATCTCAAATTTACGTTGGCCTAAAAGTTTTGGGTTCGATGTTTTCTAAAAACCAATTTTGGTTTTTTTATTTATTTTTAAATTTAAATTATTTAAAATTAAAATTGAAATTAAAAATAAAAAATAATTTAATATTTAAAAAACCAATTTGAGAAAAATATTAATAGTGGAACTAAAATGACCTTGTTAAATTTTGTTATGGATTAAATTGAGTCTTTTTTTATGGGAATTAATTTGAGTTTTTTTTTGTTTTTACGAGAGACCAAAATAAGTCTTCATTGAAATAAAATTATTAAATTTTCTAATATTAAGAATAATTATAACATAAGAAAAATATATTTATGAGAATTTCTTTACATAGGGTTTTTAAATATAAAGCTTAATAAAAAATATTTAATAAAGTAGTATTTTTATGACTTATATTTTAACAATAATACAATTATTGCAGTAAAACTATTTTGGATAAGAATCTCTTTTTATAGAAATATTACATATTAAGCTTAATAAAAAAATTAGGTAAAGTGTCTCTCAAAATAAAATTTTTAAATCTTAAATCTTTATTAAATCTGACGGTTGATATTAATATTTTTCATTTCTCACTAGATATATTAGTTCTTATCTGATAAAATATATATATATATATATATATATATATATATATATATATATATATATATATATATATATATATATATATATATATATATATTTCTGAAAAAATACACAAATAATCATATTTCTGAGAAAATTACGCAAATAATCATGTTTCAGAAAACTCTACAATGGAGGAGCACTATGAGTTAGGGCATAGACCTAAAATTAAGGAGGAGGCGCCAAGTGAGATGACGCCTAGGTGTAACATGTTTGCCCTAAGCCATCTCAGATGGCGCCTAGGTGTAATTGATGTGCAATTTTTTTTTGCTTTCTATTTTAAATGCGAGACAATAGGTAAATAATATAGCTTCACGAAACTTCGACTATTCATTAGCAAAAAACGATTACATAATGAAAAAAAAACCTTACAAATTAATTAGTGGTCCCCTGAAACTCGGTAACGACCCGTGGTTTCGCATCCGCGTCCTCGCCTATCTCGTGGTGGGTTTCGTCGATTTTCCTGTTGCGGTTGAGTCGATGACCCAGCGAAGTCAATGCATTCAAGATCGCTGAAATCGATCAAATCACCATATCTAGAAGATCCTGTTTGATACAGTCGGTTACCCATGCCCTCAAAGTTAAGGTCATCTTGGTGGGGGGTGGGGTTTCATAGATGGTCTATAGCACTGGTCGTCTGAGTAAGGGGGTAAAAAGGAAATGAATCTTGGGGTGTTTGGTATTGTGACTGTTGGGTGCTATG